CAAGCAGGATGCCATGAGACATGGTGCCCCGTATATATATCGCAAGATTCGTTTGATTGCCTTCCAATGCAAGGGTCCAAGGCTATGCAGGAACTGGCTGAGCGGCTGAAGGGCATAGGCTAGATTAGGCCTGGTGCCCATGGATAAATACATGAAGCTACCAACGGCACTTCGGTACGGGACTATAGCCATGTAGGCTACCTCTTCTGGTATAGATGCACAGTAGGTTGTGGACAGAGGAGACGTACACTCGAAAGGTGTAGCAACTGGTTTGCCGTCACCCATGTCATACCTATCGACTACAGTGGCGCAATACCGAGTCTGATGTAGGAAGATGGTGCGCTTTGAGCGGTTGCGCTCGACCTGCCATCCGAGGATATCGGCGACTTTGCCTAGGTCTGCAACGAATGCTCAAAGTGTCCTTCATGGACGTGACAAGGGACAGAGTGGGGGCAATGATCAGTAGGTCATCAACATAGAGACTGACAATTGTGAACCCATCGGGGTCAGTGTTTAGAAAGACTCAGCGGACTTTGTGAAGGCGAGTGAAGCCACGAGACAGCATGAACTCAACAAACGTCCAGTTCCACATGTGGGGCCTGTTTGAGGCCGTAGGGACTCTTCCGCAGGAGGTAAACGAATTCACCTTGAGATTACGGCTCGACTAGAGAACCAGGAGGTTGTTCCACTCAGCCTGTGCTGCCAATGTTGCCATGCAAGAGGCTGTTTTGACATCTATTTGATGACACTCAAGTTCGTACATAGCGGCGAGAGAAAAGAGGAATCGCAGGACCTCAAGACGAACAACTGGTGCAAATATTTCGGTGTAATCCACACCATGTTCCTGTAGGAAGCCCTTTACAACGGGTCTGGCTTTGTAGACTCCACCAGGTTTGACTCTAAAGACCTATCGACAGGGAATAACCCTCATTGAACGATCTCGACGTACTAGTTTGTACGTTTTGTTGGACAAGAGGGATTTATACTCCTCAGCTGCGGCAGCAAGCCACTGCTTGTGATTACTGCGACTCATGGCATCACGCCAAGTCCTAGGATTGGGAGATGATTTGGATTGTGCCCGTTCCGCTAAAAGCGCATATACAGTGAATGAGTCCAGACAATTTGTTTGACAGTGGAAGTCGTTTTTGAGGGACGAAGTGTCAAGTGGCATTGCGGCCGTTCGATTGCCACAGGCACCTCACCGTCACTAAAGCCGACGAGAATACTGCACAGCTCGTTGGACTTCAGCGCTACAGTCGGCTGATTGTACAGCGGGGGAGGTGGCGAAGTCGTCAGTGACGAATAGTGACCAGCCAGAACAAAGTGGGTTGGGCCAAACGGAGGGCTCGACAGTGGGAAGTCGCGTTCAATACTGCGATATATACGCATGAAACGCCGAGTGTCGCTGTCCATTGTAGTGGAATTGTCGTCAAGGATGCGGGATCCACGAGGCGTTATGATGAGAGAGGTGTGCATCGGAGGCAATGGTGTGACATGCTTGTCCAGGACAAAGACGTTGGGACGAGAGCCGCTGTCAACGAGGGAATGAAGGGGGGAAGGGGGGCATTGAGCTCAAGCGTGGGCACGACGTTAGGATCACTGGCCACCGGCCTCCTATAATCAGCAGCCGCCTCAACTGTGATAATAGTTGGAAATTCGGACTCCCAAATCGTGACGTCGCGGGAATAGTTGAGTGCGTGTGTGTGTAAAAGCATCAGGGAATAACCTTTCCAACTATCGGGAGGCCAACAAACATGGCTTTGAGCGCTCGAGGGTCCAGTTTGGTGGTTTGTGCCACTTTCTGGAAATGAACGAATGTAGTGCATCCAAACGTCTTGATATAACACAAGCTTGGTTGGGAGTTGAACACCTTAAAGTATGGTGACTTTCAGTGATTAGACGACGAGGGGGTTATGTTTTAATCAACCAGGCAGCGTAATCAAGGTCGGCAACACACAGAAACTTGATCAAGGCCCCTTCGATGAGCATTGCACACATCTTTTGCACAACGAGGCCAATGTGGCGCTTGGGTGAGTATGCATTCGAGAATGTGACTCTGGTATGATACTTGGGGGTGATGATACGTGCTAACAGTTCGCGACATCATTGAGTTAGTTCTTTTTATCTTGATAATCGTATGCAGGTATTTATTGATGGAGAAATGGTGGGAGGATTTTGACTTTAACAATGAACACATGAATTATTGGAGTTATGTGAAATGCAAGAGGAAGCTATTCACTATCACTGTCATCAGCGCTTGAATTTCCCCTTTGAGCTGACGAATCGTCATCAGACTCTATCGCGTCAATTTGAACAAGATGGTCATGCAACTTCTGCAGCTTTTACTCTGCAGCACGCACACATCCTTTGATTGACTCTGACTTCAAGTTAGCAAAAGCAGTATCCAGGCGAACCTTGACTTCGGGGAATTTGGTCATGTCAGTATACTGACGGCCAACTTCACCCTTGACAATTGCCCACACAAGTTCAATCGGCTGCAGATCCGAAAGATGTGGTGGGTGAAGACCACTTTATGCCCACAACGTCGAGCCATTTCGACGGTGACAGGATGAATGTTTGCTTTCATTTGGGCTGAAAGCTTCTCCCAGAGTTGACTCTTG